TGTGACCTGCCCCAAGTAGTTGATCACAATTCAAAGATCGTATGTTGATTATACAAGTACGATAGATTGACAAGTCTTGTGTGACCTGCCCCAAGTAGTTGATCACAATTCAAAGATCGTATGTTGATTATGCAAGTACGGTAGATTGACAAGTCTTGTGTGACCTTCCCCCCCTCCCCCTTAGAAAATATCAGGTAAAAAAAAAAATGGACGCGTGGAAAGAAGCAGAACGAATGCAGAGCAGAGCCACGTTACGTTTCCCAAACCGATCGCGAACGCACACGACGACACGAAAGCAAAACCAAACGTTTCAGTCGTGATATTTGCAATTAGTAGCGACCCTAAGTGTACTAATATCGACCCATCACCTTTCTTTTCTTGGCTTGCCACCCCATTACCATTAGGTACAAGATCCTGGCGCCACAAGCGGTCGACAAGGTGGCTTCCGACCCGAAGAAAGCTGCGGCGGCGATTTTGGAGGCATCCGGCCTCGAACCCGATCAGTATCGTCTTGGACATACCAAGGCATGTTTCCTTTCGCGATCATCGCCTGCTCGTTACGCACGTCAATATCACATTTTTATCACGCATAACGAGCTTTCTTTTTTTTTTCTTTTTCTCTCTCTCTCTCTCTCTTTTTCTTTCTGTTTTTTTTTCTCTTCTTCTTCTACTTAACGTAACCGATCTCTCGAGTTTCGTCGGTTGCCGCTGGCACGTGTATTTAGCCAGAAGCGCGATTATCACTCCGGATGTGAGTGGTTCCCAATTCTTCTTTTGCCCAAAATTCTGACGCCTCTGACACGTGGTCAGTCATACTATTCAAAAAGAATTGAATTTTTGACGTGGAGGAATTTTGTGAACGAACAAGCTTCCAGGGAGGAAAAAATTAGGAAATAAATTTTAAATTTTTACGTAAAGAAACACGCTAAAGAATTCACTGTTGATTGAACTGATTCTCAAACTGCCCCCTGGAAAATCAAATTGTCCTGCTGTTGTTACGTGGGAACACACAGCTCTGAATATACTCAAGTTATTTTCCTTTCCTTTCGTCTCGAATTCTGAAATCTTCAAAGTGTTTCCAATTTTTTTTTGTCTTTTGTAATTCATCGC